GAAATGAGATGCTGCATTTGTGTTCTTTAATGTGCACTTTGTCATTACCTCACTCGCAGAATTTTCCCCTCCCATCGGCACTTTTATGGAATAGCGCTCTAACGCTAATTTGCCCTGTTTAGTAAATCTGGCCCAGTCTACTGAAGATATGGTGCGTTCAAGTCATGTCGGATAGATCGTATTTACGAGTTGAACGCACATGAACGCCACCACAAAGTCGTTATTACGAGTGGGAAACTCAAAATTTTCTTTAAGCCCAGAGTTTCCGAGTTGGGGGCGTGTCAATGAGAAACATGGCGGAATCGATGGATGCACCTGACGTCGTAATTACGACTTGTCAACTCGTAAGTACGAACGTCCCAGGAGGACTTGAACTCAGCAATAGTCTTGAGGTCATTACTCCATGAACTATCTATTCTGCATCTTAAACTGGTATGTTCTGTAACCTGGCAATATTTCTGAGGTGGAGAACATTGTTTTTGAACATGGGAAATATTATATTCAAAATTCAGATATCTGTCTTGTCCAGATTATGACATTAAGGGCAGACCGTCTTCCCTTCAAATCAAACTGTGTACAGCACCTGTTCTTTCACTGTGTACTCTAGAACAGATGTTTTCAAATCTGTCCTGGTGGACCCCCAGCACTGCACATTTTGTATGTCTCTCTCATCTAACACACCAAATTCAACTCATCAACTCGTTATTAGAGACTGCAAGATCTGAATTGGGTGTGTCTAATGAGGGGGACATACAACGCGCAGAGCTGGGGGTCGTCCAGGGCAGGTTTGAAAACCCTGTTCTAGAAAGCAAAGCACCAGTGAGTTGGTATCTCATGAAGCAGCGCTGTATTCTGGGATCCATATCCATTAACAACAGACAAAGCTCCAACTTTACAAGCCTTGTCACAAGCTCCAATAGGTTGACTCCCTCAGATCCTTCTGGAGCCCCATAAATACAGAAGCTGTTCTGTCTCAAGGAAGCTTTAGATCAGTTAACTTTGCTTGCACGGCTTTTGATTGCCCAGTGCTTTTTCGATAACAGATATATGTTGTTCTGCCTCTAACACTGTTGATTTGTAGGTCGACAGTTAAGTCTTTACGCTTTTGATTGATTTCTCATCTACCCTCCTTTAACAATCAGCATGTCATCCAAAAGAAACAGACAATATTCAAATCTGCTCTGAACAGAAGTTCTTTCAAGCAGCCTTGTGCTTCAGCTCAATGAAGCAATCACTTGAGCTTTTCAAAGTATATCTTCATAATGACTATGAAAGATCGCTTCCATTTAAATCATGTAATGCTTCATATATGATCGAGAGGGGGGAAATTCATTCTGAGGATTCTCAACAGCAACCTCTGTGTGTTGTTTCAAGAGCGTGACCATTTTCTTTGTTTTTATTTATGCTTTTTGTTAAATTATAATCATATATAATTAAATTATTCCATTTAATCATATAATCACTTATTCATTTTTATTATATTCTTTACTTATGCTTTTGAAATGTAACCTTATGATTTTGTGGTTTCAAGGATATTTGTCTTCACGACTAAGAGAATGTCTCTATTTCAAAGTAAGACGTGCTGGTAAAACAAAGTAGGAATAAAAATTTGTCTGAGCACTGAAACATGCATACGCAGCTAAGATTATTCAATAAACTTTGCTCATTTTTGATCACTTCGTCTACTGCTTTCTGCTATTTCATGGCTTCCTCTGTTAACCTCTGAGATTGATAAAAAATTTTTAATTAATACAGTTTTGTTAACTGGTTTTTGTTATCTGATTTTGTTATCCAATATTCCTGATGTGGAGATTCAATGTTACATTTTCGGTCAGATCGTTAGGCTATCGTTAGCCTATATGTATACAGTTAGCCTAGTTGTAATCTGATCTTCTAATCTGACTGGACAAGAGACTTTCTATTGATATTT